AGACCTCGGAGAGAAAGCTGCCTTCCCGCTTCTCCCGTTTGAGTCTGGGTCCCTAGAGACTCGCCCGGATCTGGAGCTCAGAGTCTGAAACTCCTTCCCAATTGAAAACAACAACCGCGCCCTCCTCCGCTGGCCCGCTCCAAATGCACTCCGAACCTTAGTATTTCACTTCAGCACTGTGCCTCCTCTGAGTCTCGTATGGTTTCCTCTTTCCTCCTAGTTGTAGAACTTCCACTCAGCCAGCCTTCCTGTGGTTCTGGATGATGTCCGTTCCGTCTTTTAGTTGTATTTTTGAAGTGGTTGTTCGAGGCAGCAAGCTCCGGCGTTAACCTATGCCGCCATCTTGGTTCTCTCAATCAGGAAGACATTTTCTTGAACTGATAATTAATTCCTTCAATTTAATACTTCTACATACTTTCTTTTGATCAAACTGGTGATGGTTAGATTAAATTTACATTAAATATGTAAATATGAAATTATTTAGGATTCAAGGTAATTGTTTTTATTTTGCTCCTAAATTTTGACCTTTGCTTTGGATCTTTGCTATAACTCTCTCTCTCATTCCATATCCAAATCTCTATCTCTATCTCTATCTCTATCTCTATCTCTATCTCTATCTCTGTCCTTCTATATCTTTCTATCTCGATTATCTCTATCTCTATCTATACCTATATAATATATTTACATCTATATCAATATCTCTATCTGTGTATCATCTCTTTCTCTGCACAGTTTTTCTTCAGTGAGTTTGAGATTTTATTTAATACATTGTATGAAATATACTGTATTATATTATATATACAAAAGTTATTCTATGTAATGCTTTTAAAACAGCAATGGGATCTTAGTATCAACAAATATATTACAGATATATAGTATTTCAGAATGTTTAAAAGGGTGTTCAAAAGGTAAAATCTCTCTTCACACAGAGAGCTTCAATTCAATTGGGGTTCTACATGTGCAGAATATTTTCAAATAATGAGAACAGAAATTGATCATCTCTGAAAAGTCAGATGTCAAGGTTTCTGGCATTTTATTATTATTTTTTTAATAGGAGCAGCTTCTACAATGGGTTGTGAAGAGGGTGTAGGATCAGAGCAATCAGTCTATATGCCAATAGACTTGATTTTCAGTGCCATCATTGGCACATGGATTGTGGGTTGCTTCCTGAACTAGAAAATGGTTCTTGGCCTCTCCCTTGACAGTGCATACTTTTAAATGGGATTTGAATTAAATGCTCTGTTCAAGGTTGATAGTCAGCAAGTGCATAAGTATGACAGTTGTGATTAATTGTGCCACTTCCCATTTAAAGCTGTTTCTCCTCTGTCATTTAACTTCTCAATGACTATTATTATGGATCAACCATGAAAATTAGCTTTTGTCCATTATAGTCTTGGACCTATAAATGAAATGTGGTATTGAGTTTAAAGCTATTTTGTAAGTTCTACTTTCCCATTTTATTAATTTGTGTTCCATTACAATAGAAATTTATGGTTTTACTGCTATATTGACATGATGCCTTCATCTGATATTTAGGAGCAGTTTCACTGAATGTTTCTCTCTATGTCTGGCCATTGAATATTTTGTAGCCCTCTTAATGTGTGTGTGTGTAGTACGTGCGTGCGTGCGTGTGTGTGTGTGTGTGTGTGTGTAGAAACTAAGCATTTGATTGTACTTAAATGGGGGGAGTTGGAGTGGAAGTCCACGTTGAGATAACATCACACATATTTCCAGAAAGAACTAATCCATCCTGCTAAGTCTATTCGAACAGTCCTATTTTCTTATTTCTCTTGAATTAATATCCTAATCATATTTCTGCCCTTTTCATTTCACATCAGCCCTTTGCATGTCATTCGATTATATCATTTGATCACTGTGTTTCTTTGGCTAGAGTAAGTGGAGTTTGCACAGAGTATGTGATGCCTCAGAATTAACATGACATTAATTCTTCTTCGAGTATGAATATTGGTCCATAGTAAGTAATTGGAAAGACTATCTTTACATTATAACAAAGTCAGATGAAAGAAAAGAATATAAATTTTTTAAGATCTTTAAAGATAAAACAATATTTCTAAAATTGCGTAATTAGAGCAAATACTAATTTATTGGGAGATAGCACCGGCCCCCCGGGACATGCTAGTGAGCTTTTGTCTGTCACTGGGGATACTGAGGTGGTCACAAATGAGAAGCACTGTGACTTGGTATTATGGGCATGTGGGGTGACAGAAGGATGTCTTACTAGAAAGGCGAGAGAAAGGCAGTGGAAATTTATGACTAACACAAAATAATCTCTGAGTGGAGTTATTTAAAAATAAAATGAAAGATTGCTGTATCAACTATCCAAACTCCTGATAACATTCTTATATTCCTCCTTAAATATAATTTTCAGAGTTCAGCTTTCTTCCTAATGCTGATCTTCATGCTAGCCCTATATTTTTGCCTTACTTAGCTATAATTTAACATTCTCATTTATAGGTTCTTTATAAAACCTATAGTTGCTTTATTTATATAGAGATTATCTATCTATACAAAAAGATAGCATTTGGGTATAAAAAAAGCTATAGAAAGAGCATGGGCTTCGGAGTCAGAGAGTCTTTGGATGTCAATATTGTCTATTATTTAATAGTTTTGTTGTTGGGCATTTGCCCAACTCGACCACTTTAGCCTCGATTTCTCTTTTCTAAAATGACAATAATAGCTCTCTCACTGAGCTGTTATGGGAAGTAAAAGAGATAATAGATGTCAACAATTGAACACAGAGGAGGCAGTCTATAAACATTAGATTATCTCCTCCCATCCTAACTTTTAAGATAGCTCATCCAAAATCAGGTAGCCTGAGCTTGATCTTGGGCCCATTACCTGTCAGATATTTCTTCATGTTCTGTGTGTTACACTTTTTTCTTTTTATCATTATCCCAGGACTGGTTATAAAATGTTCCATTTAACATTGTCAGTTGACTCAGCTCTTAGGTACTAT